CTGCCAGGTGTAGCCCCATGCTGCAGTTCTCACAGGTTAAGGTTCGGGCTGGAGTCCCTCAGCAGCTGTGCTGCCCTGGGGTGGAAAGCTCCACTAGGTATTGCCCCTAATGGGGGCCTCCTGCAGTAGCCCCACCCCCACAGAGGTTCTTTGGGCTCCAAAGGTTCCTTGGGCATCTTTTGAAATCTAGGTGGAAGCTGCTATGCTCCCAGCTCTTGCACTCTGCATACCGTGAGATCACCAAGCTGATGACTTCCCAAAGTCTGTAACCTGTACGGTCTGGAGGGGCAGCCATAACAGCCTGCACTGCACTTGGAGTGGCTGTGGAACATGGCACCAGAATTTGAGAAGGGGAGCCAAGGAGGTGCGGTGGCACTGGGCAGCTGTGGCTCCTCCTTTGAAATCATTCTGCCCCTTAGGCCCTTGCACTCTAGGGCTTGTGTTGGGAGGCCATTTTAGGGCTAGCCCCAAGAACTCTGAACTGCCTCAGGTCATTCTTCCATTGCTTTGGACAGTAGGTACTAACTTTTGTTTCGATGGCTGGCCAGTCTCCCCATTGTCTTGGTGTGAATAGCTCCTAGCTTCTGTTGAGATGGTTGAGCCACAGCATTCTCCTTATCAAATTCAGCCATACCTAGCTTAAACTAGCTTTCTTACTTCTTTCAATATTGATAGGCTGAAAATTTTCCAAATTTTTAAATTGTGCTTCCTTTTTTAAAAAAAGGTTTTATTTATTTGAGAGCGTGTGAGAGAGCAAGCAACAGCGGGTGGGGGGGGGCAAAGGGAGAGGGAGAAGCAGCATCTCCACTGAGCAGGGATCCCGATGCAGGGCTTGATGTGGGGCTCAATCCCAGGACCCTGGGATCAACCTGAGCAGAAAGCAGATGCTTAATGGACTGAACCACCCAGGCACCCCTGTGCTTTCTTTTTGATTAGCATTTCCACCTTTAAATCATTTCTCTCTTCTTACATTTTACTGTAAGCATTCAGGAGAAACTAGGCCACTTCTTCACCACTTTGCTTAGAAATTTCTTTAGCCAAATATCTCACCACCACCAAATATTACCTTCTATAAAATACTAGGACATAAACACAATGCGACCAAGCTCTTTGCTATTTTATAACACGGATGGCCTTTCCTCCAATTTCCGTTGTTCCTCATTCCTCATCAGAATGACCTTCAATGTCCATATTTCTACCAACACTCTCTTCACAGTATTCTCAAACTATTCTCCAAGAAGATCTCTGCAGCTCTTCTCTTCTCTTTCTCGGTCCTCATGTAACCGGGGCTCAGGGATGCAAGAGCACCTGGCTCTGGGGGTCCCAGACACACCAGGTTTGGCCATTCGCTGTTGACAAGATCCAAAGGCAGAGAGATGATTGGTGGTGAAACAATAAAGGAATTTATTTCAGTGAGGCCAACGGCGGGGAGACAGCAGACTAGCGTCTCAAAGACTCTCGCTGAAGTGCTGAAAATAATTCTAGGTTTATACAGGGAAAACATGGGACAAAGGTCAGTAGGTACATGAAGATACAGTCACTGTCTTGGGGTCAGTCACATGGGGTCTTGCTGGCTCAGGGCAGTCCTTATTGCTTGAGAGGGTAGTTTGGTTCCCATCATGGGATGCTTTGCCCACAGGGTCTTTTGCCTGAGTTAAGAGATAAGCCAAAAAGAAGAACTTTACCAATTAGAAAGTACAGACTGAGGTAAAAAATGGAGGTAGCTGAAGTCCTCTTTCAAATATGAGAATTGGTCTTAACCATTCATTCACAGCAATGTAGATTTTTTCTAGCTCACACCTCCAAACTCTTCCAGCTTCTGCCCATTACACAGTTCCAAAACTGCTTCTGTATTTTCAGGTATTTGTTACAGAAGCACCCCACTCTCAGTGCCAGTTTTCTGTCTTAGTTCATTCAGGTTTCTATAACTAAAACACCACAGACTGGGAAGCTTATAAACAACAGAAATTTATTTCTCACAGTTCTTGAGGCTAGAAGTCCAAGATCAAGGTACTAGCATGGTTGTGTTCTCTCGTGAGGCCCTCTTCCTGGTTCATAGTTTGCACCTTCTTACTGTATCTTCACATGGTAGAATGGGCTAAGGATCTCTCTAGGGCCTCTTATAAAGGGCACAGATCCCATTTATGAGGGCTCTACCTTTGTGACTTTAGCACCTCCTAAAGGCCCCACCTACTAATACCTGCACCTTTGAGGTTTAAGATTTCAACATATGAACTGGTTGAGGGGTACACATTCAGACCATAGCATACTGCTTGAGCAGCATCCCATAAGTTTTGGTATGTTGTGTTTTCTTTTCATTCATCTCAGATTTTTTTTTTTTTATTTTCATTGTGATTTCTTCTTTGACCCATTGTTTATTTAGTAATCTCTTATTTAATATCCACATATTTGTGAATTTCCCAAACTTTAGTATCTTATTGATTTCTAAGCTTATTCCACTATGGTCAGAGTACATAGTTTGTGTGATTTCATGTTATTTTAACTTTATTTGAAGTTTGTGTTGCAGCCTAGCATATGGTGTATCCTGGAGGAAGTGCTGTGTGTGCTTGAGAAGAATTTGTGTGCTTCTTGGGTTGGTGGAGTGGTCTTTGGATACCTGTTAGGTATAAAAAACAGTGGCTTTATACAATTGCTTTTTAAAACAATTGAGAGAAGAAAGAAGAAATATATATTTATACACTCTTTTATAATTACATAATTATTACATAATTGCTTTAACCAGTGCATTTTTTTCCATTTGGATTCACATTACTATCTGGTGTCATTTGTTTTCAGCCTGAAGAACTTCTCTTACCATTTTTATAAAATGGTTCTGCTAGCAATAAATTCTATCAGCTTTTGTTTAGCTGGGATTTTTTTTTTGCTTTTTGCTTTCAGTTCTGAAAGATAGTTTTGCTGGATATTAGATTGTTGGTTAACTGTTATTTTCTTTCATCATATTGAATAGGTTATCCCACTGCCTTCTTTATTGAGATTCTATATTGCTGAGACATTTTCATCAAATCTTTGTTAAAGTGTGATTTCCCTTTGTTGTTTGAACATATTTTAAATAGCTGCTTTGAAATCTTTGCTAAGTTCAGCATCTGGACCCATTTTTCAGTCAATTCCTGTTGCCTGCTTTTTTCCTGCATTTGGGTTCTATTTTACCATTTCTTCACATATCTCACAATTTTCTGTTGAAAACTGGACGTTATAGATAATATATTGAAGCATCTTTGAATACTCATTCCCCTCTGTGATTTGTTGTTGTTAATACTTGCTTGTTTATTGGTTTAGTGACTTGGCTGGGCTAGTTCATTGAAGTCTATTTCCCTCAGCTGTAAAGAAGTGTACAGCTTCAGATATCACTCCTTAGAGGTCACCATCTTTGCCTGTGGAGTCACCCTGGCCCCTCCTCTACAAAGGGATGAAAGGGTTATTTTTATAATTTCTCTTTCCTTGATATCCTTGTTAACTTTAGAATGGTCTTTTGTTGGTATTAACCCAGATGTTAGTCTTGACTAATTACTAGGGTGGTTGCTTTGTGTGGGGGGGGCAGGGGGCAAGTGAGTGTGTGTGCGCGCGCGTGTGTGCACATGTGCATGTGTGTATTTAAAAATGCTTTTTGGCATTAATTGTTCCATAGCCTGATACAATTAATGTGAGGCCCCTTTGAAAAGTGGTAGGGGTCTTAGTTTTCTCTTACCCTGGTTCCCTCTGTAAACATCCGGCTGGTCTTCTGTTTTGCATGTTGATATCATTGATCTATCAGCCACTTTTTAAGTACTCAACTCCAGAATCTCCTTTTTTTTTGTAGTAGCCTTAGACTTGAACTTCCCCAAGCTGTGTTCCAATTAAAGTCAGTCCTCTTAGGCAGAGATACAGAGCTCACTCTCTAATGAGCTGCTTCTCCTCCTGAGAAGTTTTGTACCACTGTTTTGGAGCTGGAGGTGGGGGCGTGGCACATTTCTGTCAGAGTGATAGTCCAGCTCTATGAGTAAGGGGCTGGGCAAGAGTCATAGTCCCTGGCATTCTGAGCTTGCCTCTCCCAGCATGGAAACTCTGTCCTATAAGCAAGCTGTACTGAGGGCAATTGAGACCAGTAATTGCAATTTTCCGTGCCTGGTTATAGGGACTGGGTAGAGGAAGAGAGCTCCAGGCCTCTCATTTGTGCATGTTTATAATAGAGCTCCTACAATACAGACCTGGGGGAGGAGGATGAGAAGTATGCAGCATGCCCCTTCTGGAAATCCCTAGCCTAGAAGCTGAGAATAGAGGGAGCCCCATCTTCTTGGTCACACCCACCTAAAGAAGCACTCACACTGAGCTGGGGGTGGTTGGTGAGCAGATCAGGGTTCAACTATCATGGGTGTTTACTGTCTTATTGAGACGTAGTAGATTTCCTGGAATAGATGTTTCTTCATTTTCTTTTTACCCTTTGGGCAATTTCCTGAGACTTTACATGTTTGTGTTTTATAATTCACCAGTTATGGTTGTTTTGCTAGGGAGAGGGTCCATGGAACTCTTCATACCACCATTCTAGAAGTGCTACTCTTCTGTCCTAGATTATTAAAATTGATAGTGCTCACGATTTTCTGTTGAATTCTCATTTTCTGGGACATTAAGAAAAATACAAATGGGGCACCTGGGTGGCTCAGTTGGTTAAGCGTCTGCCTTTGGCTCAGGTCATGATCCCAGGGTCCTGGGATTGAGTCCCGTGTCTGGCTCGCTGCTCAGCAGGGAGTCTGCTTCTTCTCCCTCTGCCGCTCTCCCCTGCTTGTGCTTTCTCTCTCTCTCTCTCTAAATAAATAAATAAATAAAATCTTTAAAAAAAATACAAATAGAGGTTAATATTTTTATATAAATTATAAAATGTTCAGTTTAAACTGTAATTTTTCTGTCATTTTATTTTTAACTGCTTTTAATGAATATATTATTTTAATTTGCTTAAAGTTTTGTCTGGTTGAGACTAATTTTCTTATTACATTGTTGCCAAATAGACCAAGTTACTGAATCGTGCCCTTGAGCAGATCCATAAATGCAAAGAAATCTGGAATCTCCTGAAAAAAACAGGTACAGTGGGAACTGGGAGTTTGGTAACACAGTTATGAAAGGCATTTCAAGTCTGAATACTCAGTCTATATCGCCAGAAATTTGTGCCACTTCAGTACTTGATAACCAGTCAAATGATTATTTGAGGACTAATTTTTCTCTACTGTATGTCTGTACTTTGACTCACTGACACACTGCTTGGAGTAAGAATATTTTTTACTTTGTTTTTTATGGAAGTATAGTATTAAGTATAAAAATAAGATCATTATTGTTCAGTATGACATTATTGCCCTTAGGTCACTAGATTTCATGTCTAATTTAATCAAGCTCTAATTCTGAGTAAATGTAGGCTACAGAGCATTCCAAACCATAATCATATCAGATACTGTTAACATTTTATTATGAAATAATCAAAATAGTAGTAAACCTTTTAAAATTATATAGTAACTTGCTACTGTTTCTTCATTAAGGATGGTATTGGCTTTTAGGTTTCAGCATACTTTTTTATGTATTGTCCATCTGTTCCTATTTTAGTTAGAATTTTAAAGAATCAATATTGAATTGAATTATATGCCTTTTCAGCTTCTGTAGAGATAATCATATGGTTTTTCTCTTTTAAAGTATTAATATATTGAATTAAAGTAGTAGATTTCTAAAATTAAGTCATCATTGCATTTCTGGAATAAAGCCTACTTGATCATGGTGTGTTATTATAATTGTTGATGAATTTGGTTTCCTAAAATTTAGAAATTACTGGTTTGTTTTTTTCCTTTTGTGTATATGTGATATCTTTGATGGATTTTGATATTGAACTATAGGAATTATAAGGAAGAACATAAACATAAAATTTAATTCACCTTTCTCAATCTATGATAGCCATTTAAAGGAATAAAGAAAAAAAGGATAGAGAATACCTAAATAACATTTATAGAAGATTTAATAGAAACATACACTATAGCCTGAAAATAGAAAATTCATCTTCTGTTATGTACCCTTTGAGCATTTACAAAATTGTTCACAAGGAAAACCTGAATAAATTCCAAGACATAAAAATAAAACAATGTTATCTGATCACAATGCAATACAAAAAGGAATTGATGGAATCAGGACAAACCCTTAACGACTTGGACATTTTAAAACACAGAAACTACGAAATAGCTAGAAAATAATGATCTTGAAAATATAACAGAATCTAAAGTGCTAAAAGCAGTTCTCAGAGCAAAATTCATAGCTTTGGAGCGCCTGGGTGGCTCAGTGATTAAGCCTTTGGCTCAGGTCACGATCCCAGGGTCCTGGGATCGAGCCCCATATTGGGCTCCCTGCTCAGCAGGAAGCCTGCTTCTCCCTCTCCCACTTCCCCTGCTTGTGTTCCCTCTCTTGCTGTCTCTCTCTCTGTCAAATAAATAAAATCTTTAAAAAAAAAATTCATAGCTTCAATGACTTTTATTTAAAAAGTATGTCAGGGCGCCTGGGTGGCTCAGTTGGTTAAGCGACTGCCTTCGGCTCAGGTCATGATCCTGGAGTCCCGGGATTGAGTCCCGCATCAGGCTCCCTGCTCAGCGGGGAGTCTGCTGATACCTCTGACCCTCCTCCCTCTCATGTGCTCTCTCTCTCTCTCTCTCAAATAAATAAATAAAATCTTTTAAAATAAATAAATAAATAAATAAATAAATAATAAAAAATAAAATAAAATAAAAAGTATGTCAGAATGCTGTCCACTGAAAAATCAATTTCTTCATTCTAGGAACATACCTGGGCTACATATATATATCTGCATCTCTATCTAGATGTCATTACAGAATTGAAAATTAAAACAATGAGATACTACTACATACATATTAGAATCGCAAAAATCTAAAACACTGACACCACCAAATGCTGGCAAGTATGTGGAGCTATAGGAAACTCTTATTCATTGCTGGCAGGAATGCAAAATGGTATTACAGACACTTGGGAGACAATTTGGTACTTTGTTGTAAAACTCTTACTATACATTCCAGCAACTGTACTTTTTGGTATTTACCCAAATAAGTTGGAAACTTATGTCCATGCAAAGACCTGCAGGTGGATGTTTATAGAAGCTTTATTCATAATTGCTTAAACTTGGAATCAGCCAAGATATCCTTCAGTAGGTGAATGGATAAATAAACTGCGGTATGTCCAAACAATGAAATATTAGTCAGAGATAAGAAGAAATGAGCTATCAAGCCATGAAAAGTCATGGAGGAATCTTTTTTTAAAAGATTTATTTATTTATTTGAGAGAGAGGGAGAGTGGAGGGAGGGGCAGAGGGAGAGAGAGAATCCTGAAGCAGACTCCCCACTGAGCACGGAGCCCAAGTGTGGGGCTGGATCTAGGACCCCAAGATCATGACTTGAGCCAAAATCAAGAGTCAGCCACTTAACCTGCTAAGCCACCCCAGGCACCCCATGGAGGAATCTTAAATGCATATTATTAAGTGAAAGAAACCAATCTGAAAAGGCTACATACCACATGATTCCGACTATATGATAATCCAGAAAAGTCAAAACTGTGGAGAAAATAAAAGGACCACTGGTTGACAGAGGTTACTGGGGGAGGAAAGGATGAACAGACAGAACATAGAGAATTTTTAGAGCAGTGAAACTATTCTGCATGATACTACAGTGGTAGATACCTGTCATTATATATTTGTCAAAACCCATAAAACATACAACATCAGGAGTGAACCCTAATGTAGCTATGGACTTTGGGTGAAAATGATGTGTCACTGCAGGTTCACTAATTGTAACAAATGTAGCACTGTGGCATGGAATGTTCAGTAGTGGGGGATGTTCTTTGAGGGGGGTGGGTTTGGTATATGTGGGAACTTTGTACTCTCTACCCAATTTTGCTATGAACCTAAAACTTCTTTAAAGAATGCCTATTATCAAAGGGACAAGAGATAAAAATGCTGAAGAGGATGTGGAGAAAAGAGAACCCTTGGCACATTGGTGGGAATGTATAGTTGATAACAGCCACTATGGAAAACCGTTACGGAGGTTCCTCAAAAAATTAAAAATAGAATGATCTAGAAATTTTACTTATGGGTATATATCCAAAGGAAATGATATCGCTAACTCAAAGAGATATCTGCACCCCCATATTCATTGCAACATTATTCACAGTTGGCAAGTCAAGGAAATAATCTAATGTCCATCAAAAGATGAATGAATGGATGAAGAAAATGTGATATGTATATGTCAATATGCATATACAATGAAACATTCAGCCTTAAAAAAGAAGGAAATCCTGCTGCTTACAATGACATGAATGAACCTAGAAGGCATTATGCTAAATGAAATAAGTCAGAGAACTGTTTTTGAACAATTGTTTTTATTTCATTATTTCAGTTTTCTTCCTTGGGGACTTCGTATGTTTGGATCTCCTTTGCCTGTCTTCCAAATGTATCATTTTCTCTCTTTTAGAGTTTTAATTTCCATTTTTATTTTTTTAAACACATGTCAAAGATTTTATTTAACTCATTAATTAATAAAGGAACCACTGAGATGTTACAGGTGGTTCAAAGAAGAATTAGAAGACACACACAGGCAATTAGGAAGTGAATTTCCAAGTATATGCAAAATTGAATTGTGTGTGTGTTTTGTTATCTTTTGCTATTCCAAAGCTAGGATACCAGAGCCAAGAAACCCTCTCTACCAGATTTCACCTGTAGCACCTATAATTTAGAGGAAAGTCATCTTTTCTCAAGGTCCCTGAAATTTACTGAAGGTTCCTGACCTCTTAGAAAGTGAACTCCCTACAACATTTATACTGGGACCCTGTAAATCAGGTACCAGGATAACTCCCTGAGGGGATTGTGTAGGCATGTGCTCCATAAAGTTGAGGTAAGTTCAACCTTATACCTTAAGTTTATCTTATCATACCTGATTAAATGGCTGTCATTCTCAAGTATGATACTCCATGTAAGGCCTTGGTTGCACAATCAATTTGTCCATTTATATCTTGGTTTTAAAAAGAGGACAACAGAATTGATTTTTAGGTTTTGATGCTGTAGTATATAAGACTAAACAGAACAGCAGATCTTGAGTACATTTATTATTGTTTTAATTTGTTTTTATTTTAATTCCAGCTAGTTAACATAACTAGTTTCAGATGTACAATATAGTAATTCAGTAGTTCCATACATCACTCTGTTTTCATCATGACGTGCACTCTTTAATCCCCATCACCTATTTAACCCATCACCCCACTACCCTCCCCTCTTGTAACCATTAGATTGTTCTCATAGAGTCTTTTTCTTGCTTTATCTCTCTCTTATCTTTTTTCCCTTTTCTTCTGTGTTTTGTTTCTTATATTCCACATATGAGTGGAGTCATATGGTATTTGTCTTTCAGTTCTGTTGTATAAAAATCTGGAGTACTCAAGCTTAAACCTCATCTCCTGTCAAGTCTCTGTAACCATGATAAAAAATGTAAAAACATATAAACTAATAAACTATTATTTAAAAGGTAAAAGGACAGATTCTTATACAACCAATATATAACTGTATTGCTATGAAAAGTAGGACGACTTAATAAAAGTTTCTGAATTCAGAAGGCTGGGTAAGATAGGGAGGAGGTGAATGAGAACCATATTATTTTAAAATATTTTAATTTAGTTTACAGAAGCAGTGTCTACTAAATTGTTTTGAGTTACAAATAATTTTCAGAGAAAGAGGATTTTCTCATATAATCAGAAAATGGAACATTAAAACAACATCAGCAATATTCCAAATACATAACCACTAAAATTTCCCTCATCAGTTTATTCAGTACTATGTAATTGCTATTCTGTTGAATCTTGGGTCAGTAATCTGCTTTTATAAACTGTACGCTTTTAGACTAGAAAAAAAACCTGCACTGGTATGGTCTCAAAGTTGTCTATTCAGTGTCAACTCAGAAACCTGTAATCAGGAGTATCATTTTTTTTTTAAGATTTTATTTATTTATTTCACAGAGAGAGACACAGCGAGAGAGGGAACACAATCAGGGGGAGTGGGA